GTCTACATTGCACAAATATATGCAGTCAGTGTAATACTCATCAAAAGCCTACTAAACAAGACTTACTAGAACAAATATTTAAGTTAACAGTATTTCATGATATATGTATATAAAAATAATTGTACTCCTAGACATTTCAGAAGGTCAACCAGAAACTAAAATTAATACATTATAGTAACAATAGGACTTAAACTATGAAATATGTATGGATACATTTTTCCTAAGGCATAAAAGAAATATACAAGGCATAATTATGTAAAAAAAGTGTGGTGGTGGTGGTGTTCTTAGGTGCATTTGAGTCAACTATGACTTATGGTGACCCTAGAAACATGCCCTATCCTGAACCAATCTCACTGCCTCTGACATACCAACCCTCATTACCCCAGTTACTATGTCAATCCATCTCATTCATGTTCTTCTTTTCCTGAACATCCTTCCCAGCATGATGTCCCATGTGGACTGGTCCCACATGCCCAAAGTATGTGAGAGGAATCTTCAAAACAATTGCCTCCAAGAAGCAGCTTGTTGTCACCCACTCCAGGACATTTCTCTTTGTTCTCTTAGCAGTCTGTGGTATGTCCAATACTTTTCTCTAGCATCCAGACTCAAAAGCATCAAATCTTCTCTGATGCATAGCAAGTAATTGCAAAGACCATGGCCTGGATTAGGCACACTTTAGTCTCCAGACTCATATCATTGCTCTTCAGCACTCTGGTGATGTCACTGAAAGCAGATTTTTTGAAGCAATTCATGTTTTGATTTCCTGACAGCTGCTGCCAAAAGTTTTGATTGTGGACCCAATCAAGATGAAATCATTAATTCTCATTTTCTTCTCCATCTATCATGATGCTGTCAGTTTTCCCAGTGGCAAGAATCTTTGCTTTCTTGATGATGAGTTTTAATAAATATAGTAGACTATATCCCTTGACCTTCTGCAACAGTTGCTTCAAGCCCTCCTCAGTTTCAGCAAGCAAGACTGTGTCATCTACATATCGCTGCTTGTTGATGAGTCTTCCTCTAATCCTGATTCTACATTCTTCCTCTTAAAGTCTAGCCTCTTGAATCATCTGTGGATTGAAAGTATGGAGACAGGATATATCCCTGATTCACTCTTTTCCTGATTTTGAATTTTTAACTATGCAGTGCTTCTTTGTTCTGAAGACTGCTTCTTGGTCTAAGTATAGGTTTCACATGAGCATAACCAGGTATTCTGGGATACCCACTCTTTTCAAGGTTAGCAACAATTTGTTGTGATCCACATAGTCAAATAACTTTGCATAGTCATTGAGCACAGATAGACTTTCTTCAGATACTCTGTTTTCAGGCAAAATCCATTTGATTGATATTGGCTATATTGTAGTTAGTGCCACAGGTTCTTCTAAACCCAGCTTGTATTTCTGATAGTTCTCTATCCATGTATTGTTCCAGTCATTATTTTGGATGATCTTCAGTGGGATTTTACTTTCATGTGATATCAGTCATTTTGTTCAATAATTTCTACACTCTGTTATATCACCTTTATTTTGGAATGGGGATAAATATGGATCTGTTCCAGCCAGTTTACCAGGTGATTGTCTTCTAGATTTCTTGGGACAAATGTATAAAACTATAACATAATGCTAAGATAAATTAAGGAGGACACAACAAATGGAGGAAATATGCAATCGATTAGAAGACTAAGTGCTGTTAAGGTGATTGTTGTTCCCAAATTTATCTCTACACTGAACCAGTACTGATAATAAAACTTTTTCTACATAGAGGAAAAGTTCTGTGGGTCTGAACAATCAGTAAAATCTTTTTGACATTTTAAAGAGAGTGATACTGGTCTTCAACACGTGCTTCTTTCTACCTCTTAATACTTTCAGAATCCTGAAGCTGAAAATGAAGCAAAACTAAATATATAAATAGAAAACTCTTCAAAGCTCTTTTTAAAAGCAAATATTCCAATAAGACAATGATTAATATTTAAAAACAATAGACTGGCTTAAGTTTTGTTGAACTCAAGCTTGCCTCTAGTTGAAAATTCTGGATAAATATATTCAAGAGGAAAGGTATAGTAAAAGTAGACTGAGTCTTATCAAAGCTATGACCAAACTTTATTACATTTTCATTGCTATGTGACAATTTTAACACAAACATAATGACTTAAAACACTTCTTTTACTATTGTTTCTGAGTCAGGAGTCCGAGACTGAACAGGACTTCGTTGTGCTCTGCTTAGGGTATCAGAGTTGCTAGATGTCACATCTGAGGCTCTACTGGGAAGATATTTTCAGAGGGAGCCACAATAAAAATTCACTTTCTTGTGGTTATGAGAATGAGGGAGTTAGAATCTTACCCATAGGACTGGGCCCTTTATTTGATATAGATTTTTTTTTTTTAAAAAAGATGACTTTTAGGTGCTCAGGTTCAAGAGAGAGCATCCTAGACATCTTCTGCCACTCCAGGGTTGACTTAGCTCAGTCACTTTTTTGCGATAAGTTGATCTGCCTAGAAAAGGAAAACAATAAACATTCTTTAGAAAAGACACTACAACCTTTGGACTTTCTAATATTTTATAAACAAGATTCAATATAAAATAAAATATTTTAACAGATGAAGATATAATTCCTTATTTGAATAAAACAAAAAGGGGGAAAAGTGATAATAGAAATAAACAGATGTTCAGATATTAGAGTAGGCCAATAACATTTTTTTAAGTAATTGTGATTAAATGCTCAAGAATATATGTAAAACTTGTGAAATGAAGCATACTTTTGATACAGAATTTGAATATATAAAAGAGAATGAAAAAGAAAATCTTATGTTGTTGTTGTTATGAACCATCAAGTCAGAACTGATTTACAATTGACCTTCCAATGAATTTTCAGAGACAGTAAATTACACGAAAGGAGCTTGCCTAGCTTTCTCCCACAGAGCAGCTGGTGGATTTGAACTATGTGCCTTCAGGTCAGCAGTGTAATTCCTTAGCACGAGGCAACCAGAGCTCCTTGAAAATCACATGGAAATGTAAAAAGTATTTTTTTATTCACAGAAAATAGAAAATACAGAAATTTCTTACAAGTATACATAAATTAATTAAAGAAATTTACTCCATTTATATTCAAATGTTTCTGTTACAAAGACTAATAAATAAAGATAATTACTTTTTAACTCTGCAACTTTAATTTATTGAAGAAATGTGTAATGCGTTGATATAACAGTAAAACCTAGCACAAATCCTGACACAATGTTGATCCTAATAGTAAAGGCCCATGGGAAAAAATGCCTATTCATTTTGGACCATAAATTGTACTACTATACTACTTGTGGCTTTAGCTTTTAATAAAAACAATTTTATGATGCATACATGAATTATCAGAGGAGAAGAAAGAAAAATGACTCAGTGAAGAGACAAACAAATCAGTAAAAATAAGCACAACCATAACACAAATGTTGGGAATATTAGACAGGGAACTTAAAAAAATACCTCTATCAATGTATTAAATTGTCTAGAAGACTGAAGAAACATTGATGCCTTTGAATTGCAATGCTGACAGAGTATGTTGAAGTGACTGACAAAAGAACCAATGTGTCTTGGAAGAAGTGAAACAAAAATGCTCCTTAAAAAAACAATGATGATGAGACTTTGTTTCATCTATTTTGTATATGTATCAGAAGAGGTCTATCCTTAGAGAAAGGACATCATCACACTTGGAAAAGTAGAGGATCAGCAACTGACACAGTGATTGCAACAATGCATCCAAGTACCCCAGAGATTGTGAGCATGGCACAGAAGAGTAAACTTGACAGTGCCTAACAACAACAGAGAGCCTACAAGCAACTCTACTATAGTAGCAAGGAACAGAACTAGACAGTTAACATTATTTGAAATGTGGGGTTTTTCTCATTGATTTCAACATTGAGAAATTTCTGATACCTCACAGTCACTGACTACATTTCAACTACTTTGATTTTCTTATTAAGGAGCCCTTACAGTGCAGTTGGTTACATTTTGTACTGCTATGCATCAGAAAACTGGACAATGACTAAGGATGACAGAATAATAATAGATGTCTTTGAGATTTGGTGTTGGAAAAGAGTCTTGACCACCCAAAAATAAATAGGTTTATCTTGAAGAAGGTGAAACTGAGTTTCTCTTTAGAGATTAGGATTTTGAAACTCCATCTCACATACTTTGGCACATGGCCAGGAGGGACCAGACCTTGGAGAAGGGCATCATGCTTGGAAGGGTTGAATGACAGCACATGAGAGGAAGACCCTGGATGATATGGATTGATAAAGTAACTGGGGTAATGGGGGTAGGTGTATCAGAGTTAGTAAGACTGGCTCAGGACAAGCAGGATTCGGAGCTGTTGTACATAGGGTGGCTATGAGTCGCAGGCAACTTGACAGTACGTAACAAAAACAAAAGGTTGACAAGCAGTGTCTTTTTACCAGCTGCTCTGTAGGAGAGAAATAGGCAATCTCCTCCAGTAAATATTTACAGTCTTAGAGACCAAAGTAAGGTGAGTTTCCAAGGCTGTAAATTGACTGAGAAGAAAATGCCTTAGTTCCCCACTCCCTTTGGAAGTGGTTGGTGGACTTGAAACATCAAAGCATAATCTTTAAGTTACTAGTGTAACTTACTAAGGACTATGACAGTGGAGTTTTCTTTATGACTAGACTCTCAAAAACTCTAAACTCAAAATTGGTTGAATGAAACCAATGGGTTTATGGGATATTGTAAATTGCATGGGAGGAGATTATCCATCTTTTTCTCTGGGAGATATGGGTGAATTCACACCACCAAAGAGGTGCTCTCCTTGGGGTAGCAGTATAATTCTCCACCAACTAGGTCACCAGAGCTCCCTTATACCTAGACTAGGTTCTGAAAATTGGAGATACTTATAAATATAATACTTCCTAAATGACTGACCTAATTAGTACATAAACAAATAAATAATTTAATGAATTTCAATTGTACTGTTTTCTTTGTTGATTCTCATTCTTTTGTTTCACTTAGCAAATGATGTACCTACTCAATAACCTTCTCATAGAAGATTTTACCTCCTGATTGCGAAGGGTATAAATCACAGGGTTCATCAAAGGAAAAATTACTGTGTGGAAAAGAGAAACAACTTTGTCAGCTGGGAAAGCCCTGAAGGGACGAGTGTAGATAAAAATAGCAGGTCCAAACATGAGAAACACGATGATAATGTGCGTGGTGCACGTGGACACAGCCTTGTTCTTCCCTTCAGAAGAGTGTCCCTTTACACGACAGAGGATGACTGCATAGGAAGCCAAAAGGCCCAGGAAACACAGGAGGGTGAGCATGCCACTGTTGGAGACCATCAAGAGCTCCACTACAAAGGTGTCTGTGCAGGCCAGCTTGATGACCTGTGGGACATCACAGAAGAAATTATCCAATTGATTTGGGCCACAAAAGGGTAAATTTAGGATAAGGGCCACTTGAACAATGGAATGGGCAAAGCCTCCAAGCCAGAGAGTGAATAACAATGCATAACAAACTCTAGGTTTCATGACAGTTGAGTAATGTAAAGGCCGGCATATGGCGATGTAGCGGTCAAAAGCCATTACCACAAGAAGGAACATCTCCCCAGCACCAAGGAAGTGCAAAAAGAAGAGCTGGGTGATGCAGCCTCTATAGGAGATCACCTTCTTCTCAGAAAGGAAGTCCACCAACATCCTCGGAGCTACAATAAAGGAGTAGGATGCATCCAGGAAGGCCAGATTTCCCAGAAAGAAGTAGAGGGGTGCCGTAAGGCCAGGATCTGTTCTTATGGTGAGAATGATGAGGAAATTTCCAGGAAGAATGATGAGGTAGAAGATTAAGACAAGCACGAAGACCAGTAATTGAGCATCCTGAGACTGAGTCAGACCAAGAAGGATGAATTCTGTCACCACAGTGCTGTTCTTGCTCTCCATGACTCCTCAGTCTACAGAATAAGAAGAAGCAAATTCTTAGGGTATCATATTCACCCTTTTATCTATCCCACAACCCCTTTAGCTAAAAATAAGTTTTTTCCAGATCCTACAGTTTTCCAACTCAAGACAACAAGCCACTGGTGCCCTATCACTGTCCTATCTTTCATTTCCCCAATGTCATAATAAGTCATTCTTCTTATAGTCACACTTCCTTTTCTCCCACCAGATTCTAGTGGTGAGGAGTTACCAACACAAGTGGTGTGAATCTACCAGCTGTGGTGTAAGAGAAAGGTGGACAATCTTCTCCCATGCTTTAACCTTGGAAAACCAGCTAGAGGGTCAGCTTTGATATGGTTGCAACTTAATGGCAATGAAAAAGAGAGAGAGAGAGTAAGGGGGATGGAGAGAGAGAAATGGGGCTTAGAGGTAAGGAATTGTGCTGCCAACCCAAAGCCACATATTCAAAACCACTAATTAGCTGCATGGGAGAAAGATGGGCAATCTCCTCTTATGCAATTTACTGCCTTTGAAAACCCAGTGGAGAGTCAGTTCCAACTCCAAGATATACAGCAATAATTCTTCTTCAGACTGGAGTGATAAAGGATATCATTCCCATAAGAATTCCCATATTCTAAACAATTTACTATTGTAACAGTTTGGCTATTTCCATTAATATTCAAAAGAACTGGAAAGGGAAATTGTCATAAAGAACATTTAGTCTAGAATGGTCATTTGATGGCAAGATAAATAAAACACACTCACTACTGTTGAATTAGAACTGAATCCAACAGATTTTCAAATCACATGGGAGGTTATTGCCCATCTTTTGCCCTGGAAACTTCTAATGGATTCAAAGTGCAAAAAGGTGTCATCTTTGGTTTAGTAGTGCAACTTCCTTAGATTGTTGTTGTTATGCACCGTCCAGTGGAAACAAACCCATAGCTGACCCTCTAGCAGGTTTTCAGAGGCAGTAAATGACACAGGAGGAAATTGCCTCTCATTCTCTGGAGGAGCAGCTGGTCTGTCCAAACACGAGAATGCCTTTGGGTTGTCAGTGCAGATCCTCCCTACAAATTGTTTCTTAAATTTATGATTTGTTTAGATAAAACAAAGCATCCAGGAAAGATATTTATCCAAAAAAGATGATTGACTGAAAATGACATTTTTGACATTTCAGTGCACACCAATTTTAATAATATTACAGTATCTGTTTTTCACCATTAGTGACATTTTTTCTTGTTGACCAAATGTTTTGAAATGGGTGTTTATGTTTAGGCATGCAAACACATAATTACACATGTTGAAACACACATAGTGACCATAAGCAAATTTAAACAGGGGAAAAACAATCTGTTGGATGTTTTTCAAAAAGTTTAGAAACTCCATCCTCTCTTTTTTCCTACTTGGGTTCCCATGGATTTCCTCAGTCTTAACCACTCTGCTTTCAGAAGACTGCTCTTAGAAAAAAAAAATAAGGTATCACTGAATATCATTATGTTTTGTCCATTCCAGGAGGCCACTTGGTTATTTCATGCTTTTTAGATTGATAAGTTTAAGACTCAGGAAACACCCTATGAATTCTTCTGCTCTTTTTTTTTTCCTTTTCATTGCCTGTCATCGACTTCTGTTCCTCAGTCTGTTTCCTAACAGATTCCATAGCGTTAAATGGCCAATCTACATTTTTCCTCCTATTTTCATTTATGTTCTTTCTGCTCCTGTGCCTTGCAAATTGTGTTCATCTCAGCATAAAGAATATCAGATGGTAGTCCTCTGTGGAAAATTAGTTCGAGCCCTAAAGCTGCAAATTATTGGTGCTCATCAGTGTAAAATTCCTGTTTTGTTTAGATATAAGAAATATTTTCAATCCAGGCTAAAACAGAAATCTAACAAATTTTCTACTATCTCTAACCTTATTTCAGGTGTTATGAAACCTGGCACAGAAAGATGCAGAGATCTGAAGAGTACCCATATCCCTTGCCTCTTCTTCAGAATGCAGATTTAGAGCCCCTATCGGCAACACTACACACACCTGCATTCCAGACTGCTGTTCGACCTCTTAAAGCCATGTGTTTGGGAACTTGAACACCATGTAGCTCACTCTTATTTTTCTCCCCTTCTATTTCTTCTTGCTCCTTCTTATTTCTTTTATCATTCCTGTACATTTTCTTATAACATACTCTCTTTTCTCAATTATTCATTTTACATTTGATTCCAGTCAGAACCAACTCACAGCTAAACCATTGGCCAATTTTCAGAGGCAGTAAATCATATGGGAGATTTCCCCATCTTTTCCTAGTGAAGTGACTCGTGCGTTTGCACTGCCTTTCTTTGGACTCCTTACCACTAAGTCCCCAGAGCTCCCTACATCTTATAATCTCTTCTACTCAATCTCACAATTTAGTCTTTACTTTTTCTTCTACACTTTTATTTTTTCCTTACCTTTCTCTTATTTGTTTACAGTCACTTAACCTTTAAGGTTTGCTTTTGGATTTTTTTTTTAAATTTTATTCTCTCCACCTCTACATTTATGACATTGTACTATATTTCATTGTTATATTCATGTTAACTTAAAATATAGATATTATTTTGTCTATTCCAAGACAGAATGAGAAAGATAAGTGCTTCCTACTTGTTTAATTAGATATTATTTTATATAAGTTGAAAATTATTAACTTCCCCTTCAGGTCTTTACCTGTTTTATTAAATGTTATCCTCTTTTAAATGTATTAACTCTGAATACTTTTATTTCTATTTTTATTAATACTAATTTTAAAAAATTAACTATGTTTGGCAAAAATTTCCTTAACACAACATCTACCAGCATGAATGAATTTAATAAAAGTTCCAAAATCAGATACTGTATTGATCCTGTCTTTTGAATTATGAGGACATACTCTTATTAGCCTTATAAGCTTTAGAGAATATAAATCAGCTGAAAATATTAAAATACTTTATTTATAATAATATTCAAAGATACCACTCAAGGACTTAAGGGATACTTTACTCAAAAACATGTTATTTTGAATCACTTTATATCAGAGAGCTGTACAATGACTAAGAACGATAGAAGAATTGATACCTTTGAGTTGTAGTGCTAGATAAGAGTATTGAATGTACTAGGGACTGCTAAGAAAACTAACATCTATGTCCTAAAGAGGGTGAAATTGAGCTGCTTTTTAAAGCAATGATTTTGAAGCTCTATCTCACATATTTTGGGGATGATGCCAGGAGAGACCAGTCCTTGGAAAAGGACACCATGCTTGGAAGGATGGAGGTATCGTGCAAGACAGGAAGACCCTGGGTAAGATGGACTGGCTAAAAAACTGGGGTAATGGGTGTAGGTGTATTGAAGAGAGTGAAATTGGCTCAGGATAGGGCAAGGTTCAGAGCTGTTGTATATAGGGTCACTATGAGTTACTGGTGACTCAATTGTATATAACATCAACAATAACATATGTATCCCAAACCTTAATATTTAATAAAGAAGAATGAATATATTGAATTATGATGTTTCTGAATACACTGTGGACTGTCAAGTGAATGCATAAGTTTATCTTAGGTAAAGTATCTTCAGAATGATCCTTTATAGTGAGGATGGTGAAACTTGATCTTACTTATTTTGTTATCAGGAAGCAGAAATCCCTGGAAAAGGAAGTCAGTCTAGGTAAAGTAGAAAGTGAGTTAAAAAGAGGTTGTTCACTGAGATGGATTGACACAATGACTGCAACAATGGGCATAAATACAGCAGAGATTGTGAGAAGGGGACAGTCAGTGTTTGTTCTTTTGTGCATACTTAGGGTTATCAGGAGTTGGAGTTGATTTGAAGGCACCTAACAATACAACAATATTGTTGAGAATGATATAAAACATTCATTACTAAATCTTTATAAGCCAATGATTTATCAATTAAATGGAATAGTTATATGACAAAACCCTCAAATACACATGCACACACACTACGGTTTTATATGCTATAGTAATTGGTATAGAAAGAGCCCTGGTTTAGAAATCATTCTATCCTTTAAAGTCACTGACTGTCTTTGCAATTTACTAATGATACAACTTTAGGCAAATTCTTTAGGCTTTTAATATCAAATTTTTGTGTGTAAAATGGAAATTAGGTACATTCTTTCTAATCTATTTTTAAGATTTAATAAAATGATCAGTAACTAACTCACATGTAGTTAAACTGGATTATGAAAGAAAAGGTCATTAAGATCTAGGAAAATGATAAATACTATGCTAGTAGATTTTGCTAGGTTTGGAATTGATCCCAGAAGAGACGGTGGCTGCCTAAATCTGAGAGGACTTCAGATTTAAGGAGATTCAAGGAAGGACTGAGTGGATTGTCAGACTTGGATGAAGTTCATTACCTGGTCCATGTAAAGGCTTTTTTTGCTTGTTTTTTGTTTTGTTGTTGTAGCTCTAAGGGAACTTTAGTGGTGTAGTCTGTATGCATTTGCTCTGATAACCAAATGCTGTGCCTCTCTGACTGTTCACATACAAGAGCAACTCTGTCAGAGGAAGATGTACAATTTCCTCCTATGCAATTTGTGTCTTTGGCACCACAGTGCAGGGTGAGCTGTGAGTAATTTTGTGTCCAAGGTAATGAAAATATGTATCTTGAACTCTTGAGCCCTATCTTGGAATATAAAGATATATAAAAGAAGAAACTCATACCAGCTAAATGTGGAAACCCTAATGGTTCCAGGTGGAGTTTGTTGCTGGAAAGTCAGCTTACCTTTTGTCACTTATTGTGAATATCAGTACCTTTTTCCTTTTCATCTCTGATTTATAATGGGGAAAATATCAGCCATTTTTATGGTAGTCAACTTTAAATCGAGGTTGTGACTCTCCCAAAGCTACTGCTATTTTCCCTTTTTAATAATAGCATAACTAAAAGTTCTAACCACCTTTGAAATAATATTAAGGCTTAGGAGCATCAAAAGGTTTATCTGAGATAGAGTAGAATGTTTAGAACATTCAAATGTAAGTCTCAC